GATTCCGTCCTGGCCGTGGAACAGTGGACCAGCTCTTTACCCTCGGATCATGACCTCCAGCATTCACTGGGGCGGTTTGCAGCCGAGTGTGAAGTGGCGGGGATGAGAGTTAGCACCTTCAAATCTGAGGCCATGGTTCTCTGCCGGAAACCGGTGGATTGCTCCCTCCAGGTGGGGATGGAGTGCCTACCTCAAGCAAAGGAGTTTAAGTATCTCGGGGTCTTGTTCACGAGTGAGGGTAAGATGGAGCGGGAGATCGACAGGTGGATCGGTGCGGCTGCAGCAGTAAAGCAGGCGCTGCACCGGACCGTCTTGGTGAAGAGGGAGCTGAGCCGGAAGGCAAAGCTCTCAATTTACCACTCGGTCTACATTCCTACCCTCACCTATGGTCACGAACTCTGGGTCGTGACCGAAAGGACAAGGTCGCGGCTACAAGCGGCCGAAATGAGTTTCCTTCGTAGGGTGGCCGGGCTCAGCCTTAGAGATAGGGTAAGGAGCTCGGTCATCAGGAGGGAGCTTGGAGTCGAGCCGCTACTCCTTCGCGTCGAAAGGAGTCAGCTGAGGTGGTTCGGGATCTAATTAGGATGCCTCCTGGACGCCTCCCACTGGAGGTTTTCCAGGCACGTCCAACTGGGAAGAGACCCCGGGGAAGACCCAGAACACGCTGGAGAGAATACATCTCCCAGCTGGCCTGGGAACGCCTCGTGATCCCCCAGAATGAGCTGGAACATGTTGCCGGTGAGAGGGAGGTCTGGGTCGGCCTGCTTGGCCTGCTGCCACCGCGACCCGACCCCGGATAAGCGGTGGAAAATGGATGGATGGATGGACATGAGGCATATTTACTTAATAATAGATGTATTAGCTTGTTAATAGGCCCATCTCATAGAACATGTGGACTGTGTGTAACAGTGTAACTATCATATTGTTATGAACACATAAGACCCAACAGTGGCCATGACTACTATAACAGTAAGATGAGCAGCTGATCCTGGTGCTGTGTGGGAGAAGTGATCTGCTGCAGAAGAACGTCTCTCATTGCCCTTCTGCTCCGCCAGTCCTTCATGTCAGATGATAAAACTGCTCAGATATTAGAAATAGAATCCCTCCAATCTGCTGAGCCCCATGAGGCTCCGCCCACTAATCAGGTATGAGACAGTTTGTGTATGTTATTTACCTAATGGAAATGTCACTGTCAGCTCAGTGCGAGAGTGTCTTGTGTTTGGCTGTCACTTTTGATGCAGGTGTTTCACTGAGGACAACCACACTCACCACGCCGCTGCAAGAGCAACAAAAGCCCCGCGGGAAAAAAGCCAACAAGAGTATTTTACTCATGTGATTCGTGCAACAGATGTACCGTCGATGAAAGTAAAATACGCAACAGAAGACAGCTTTCAGGTAACTCAGGATATATCTCTGGGGCTCCGCGTGGCTGACGGATGTCGGGGAAAAGACTTCCTCATTGTTTACAGTCCCATTAACAACTTGAGGTGTGAGACTGTGAGAGTTGAGAGAATTGTGTACAAAAGTAGCTAGTTTATGAGCTAATTTTAAACCATTTATGAGCCAAACCATCTTCAGATGATAGCGGTTGGTTCACAGATTGCATTTCAGCCAATGCGTTCCACCTCTTTTGCTCTCCACACAGACTGTTTGCCTGCATTCAACCACAGCTGGCTCCAACGCCATTTGTTAATAATAAAACGCAAACCAGAACACTTTCAAATACCAACATTTTGCTGCCTAAAGATTCTACATATGAATGCAGAATCTGTTTATAGAGATAACTCAGGCAAAGACTGCACCTATAAGCAACAAACACTGGCGGAAAACCGTAAAGGGAGAGAGAAATTCCCCAGAGACGGCGACAAGGCAGAGAAGACTACACAAAGGGTTTGGTATTTATATCGCTCATTAAGGAACAGCCTGGATGCTGGCAAACTTTTTTCTTGACGCAATGCAGAGCTGTCAAATTGTCAAGCATACACATCTGACTGGTTTTACTAACTTGAATGTACTTGAAGTGTGCACTGTGCAGCTCCATCTAGGTAAAACAACTGGATCGGGACATCCCTAGTTGGAGTACTTCCTTGCTGCTGAAACACACGAGGTAAATACCTCTCTATTCCTGGGATGGCATACAGTCCATACAGACAAACAACCCCTGCAGCACATTTAGATGCTCTCTGGACTGTAGGAGGAAAAGTACAGAAAAATAGTCCACCTCCCTTTCAGTGTAGGAGAGGTGGAGGAGTGTCTGTGATCATAGTTATCAGAGAAATGCATCAGAGTGCGTCTAAGAGCACAGAACAGTACAAAATGTCGTGCAGGTTTGCAGTAATTACAGTTTTTCTCACTTGCTAAAACACTAAAACCCATTGGCTGAACAAAGTTCTCAGTTGCCTGAACTCATTTAGCTAATTGTGCAGTCTGTTGTCAATACCTTAAACTATTTCACATGGTAAAACACAATTTGCAGATCTCACTTAGACTTTTCAGCAAA